TATTGTGAGCTTACAAGTAGCGTCGACCATATGTGAGAGAAATGCATACCACGTGATACACGTACTAAAACCGTTGAATGTATTCATCTGGACAGGTGAGTAAGGTTATGAAAGGTCACGCAAGTTCATGCCAGGTAAACAACAATCATTATGATGGGGAAGACCATTTGGTTAATCAAATTAATCGAGCGCATTTAGATACAGTTTTTCCCTTTCACGTATAGGTAGATTTTAATAAAATACAGTAATCAGCCAAAAGAGGAAAATGTACCTAATTGCGCTGTTATTTTAAAATCTTTGTAAAGTGGATCAGGACTAAAAATGAATGGGAAATGGATGTAAACAGTGTACCCCTACCTAAAATTAAACTTTATATCTTACATATGATCTTATTTTCGGTAAAAGTGGCATTCCATAAAGATACGTACATATATAATGTGTGTACAGATGTATTCGTTTACGAACGTGAAATGGTATACTATGATGGAAAAAAAGACCTATTATTGCTCACGTAAATAAAGACCGTGATTTTATTAACCTACGGGTTTTCTCAGGCAAGGGGAGGGTTAAATGTCAATCAATTTCAAGCAAGTTCGGGGAACACACCATTGACGGGGGTACATAGACCAGGTATATTTGAAGGCGGTGCTTATTATTTCGGACTTTAAAGGCCGATATTTTTTTACCGTATGATTTTCTCAGGTAAGGGAAGGGACTAAATGTCAATCAATGTCAAGCACCCAATGATGGACCTTAATTCATTTGATTGACGGGGGTACATAGACCAGGTAAATTTGAATGTGGTGCTTATTATTTCGGGCTTTAAAGGCCGAGATTTTTAACTGTATGGTTTTCTCAGGTAAGAGGAGGGACTAAACGTCAATCAATTTCAAAGACCCAATTCACTTGATTCACTGACTGACCTTGACAGACCAAGTAAATTTGAAGGCGGTGCTTATTATCTTGAGCTTAAACTGCCACAGCTAAAAGAGTCCAAAATATGTTCCACTCAGGAAAGAATTTTATCAAGCCAAGGGAATCGCCAAAGGCAAAATCGCTTTCATCACAGATGATGGTGTAAAGTCCATTGATAAATCAATCATAAGCCAGCCACCTGAAAGTTCAGTTGTTGGTCAGATCTGGTGTACTTTTAAAACAATATTTACATTGGACAACAAATATAAGAATAGAAGACTTTGGCAAAACAAATCCTGTTCAAATTAACTCTAAATAAGAACTAGATGATTAAATGCAAGGTATATCCTGATGTTAAAACCAAATAAGATAAAGACAGGTGTTGAGTGATGCCAAATTGGAGAAGTTGTATGATGACAAAGAACATGACTGTTCAAAATCATGACATCGTCCATAAAAATCAGTTTTCTCCATGCTGAAGCTGAGCAAATTTACACTAAGAATCCTCTGTCAAAAGGAAACTAAGTTTGTACATATGTTCTACATTATGTGAGGGAAATTAAGGTAAAAATAAGCATTCTATTATTTTTAACTAAATTTACCTAAATTAAGCATCATTCTGATTCACTGAGACACGTGTTATCTTTAAAAGAAAAATACTTCTGGACATGACATAAAATATATATGAATACGGCGCAAATTTTCTTTTAACATTTATTTAATAATAGGTGTACAATATTCAATCACAAAAAATTGCACTAAGCAGAGAAAAAAAAAACAAAACAAAGCACTGAAGCAGTGTCTACATGTATGTGTCAATATAAGCAAAACAAATGCCTGCACACTGATAATGGCACAATGGATTATTATTTACTTGCTGAACAACTTAATAATAATAATAATATATTGATTTTATGAAAAAATGATCATGGATTTCTATATAGATGAAATATAGAGATGAAATATATAGAGTAATGAATTTTAGTATTTCAAATTTTCCATGATTACTTTCCCAAAAAATAATCGTTCATCACATATTTTTTTCTATATTAGTACATGTATATCATATATAATTTGTATTGCAATTAAAGAAATTGAGCACCAAATAAAATTTCTAACAACAAATAACACTCAAACAACATTTTCATCGTCACTTCTATATCAATAACAAATTGAAAATAAGCCAGCAAAAGAAAATCTATAACAATTCAAAATACAATGCGAAAAAAATAGCTTTCAAATCCTAACACCCAGCATTGCTTCTTGAACTGAAAACAATGCAAGAAATAAAATTCAACAGAATTTGTCAAAATTAAGCAACAACTAAAAAATAATATTCTATCTATCATATATATGAATACCCTGTCCTTTTCAATTATTTCATGTCATGTTTCATGGTAACGTGTACAATATAAATCTTATTTCATGTATTCATCATTTCTAATTACTAAATATAGTCTGGCACAAATCAATTCAAACTTCAAAGCAATATGAGCTGCAATTTTTAGTCAGAAATGTTTGTTGTAAAATTAAAATGATATAAATCTGTTAAAGGCAGATATTTTTATAGTAATAAATTTTTGTT